AGAAGTAGAAGTAGAAGTAGAAGTAGTAGTAGTAGTAGCAGCAGAAGCAGAAGCAGTAGTAGTAGCAGTAGGAGTAGTAGTAGTAGTAGTAGTAGTGGTAGTGGTAGTGGTAGTGGTACTAGTAGTAGTAGTAGTAGTAGTAGTAGTAGTAGTAGCAGTAGCAGCAGCAGCAGCAGCAGTAGTAGTGGTAGTAACAGCAGTAGTAGTAGCAGGAGTAGCAGCAGGAGGAGGAATAGTTGCAGGTTATGCATGCTCATTCTCTGCTGTACCAAAGGGCAACAGACTGCACTACCGAAAGCAACACTCTCTTGTGTGCTTGTTCGTTTAAAAGTTGAACCTGCCTCTAGTGAGCGGTTCGCCTGCTTCGGGCATTGGAAAAGCCTTTGCCGCCATAAAAACCAACCAAACACACCAAACAGCAAACAAACAGCAGCACGTGCCGCACAGTAGGGGCCCAGTCCTAAAGGGGAAAAAGGAAGCCGATCGCGGTTTTCGGACCCAGTCGAAACTTGGTTTGACATCCCTAGCGGATGTTGCCTCGTGGGCAGAAACTAACGAAACACTCAGGAGCCCGAGTGCGCGGGGCTATTTCACGACCCCACCCAAATTCCTTGGCCCAACTGTACAAGGCTCCTGATCTTCTCTCGCGTTTTGAGCAGTTTCATCCAGGGCGGATCGGCCGACGCAGCCATCCGGGCTTAACCGCCTCTTGAGCTACAAAAAATGGCTTCCTACGGCCGAATGCCATGAGGTATTCGTAGCCGGTAAAGGAGGGTCTGTGCTTCCAGCACTGCCCCCGCCCGTCTCTGCTCCCTCAGGTGGCACCGAAGCGCCCGCAGACTTGGACCCCCCTCCCGGAGCACTCTCAGGGGCTTCTTCGACTCTTCAAGGTGATGCAGTCCGCCACCTCGGCCGTCGTCCAGGTGACACCTTTGCGCTCGAGGCGGTCCAACCGGTTGACCAAGTAGAGCCGGTGCGACCTTCCAATCATCCGCGGCCAAGTCCGAACCGTCTGCAGGGGTGTCGCTCTGGGCTGTAACACACTCGTGCCGAGGTGCGAGGTGCGACCGTCTATGCTAGCGCTAAACATCCGTTGGGTGAAGCATCGAAGGTGTTTCGGCGAGTAACAAATCAACGGCGTTTGCTAGGAACACATCGCAGATGTTTCCGCAAGTCTCGACGTATTCGAGCTGTCTGGGACTTTGGTCCCCGAGCACCAAGCTCTGGCCCTGGCATCGGTCGCTTCTTAGGTGGAGCGGAGGCAGCTAAGCAGAAGGCCAAGGCGGAAGCGCAGCAGAAGGCCGCCGAGCTATCCAGAAAGAAGGCGGCAAAATTTACTTGCGACTGGCTACGTGGGCACAAGAGTGGGTTCGGAGGAACAGCTAGAGAAGTGCTACTGTATGCGGATGGCCTGGAGTCCATGGGACGCGGTGTCCAGGGGCGAACCATTGTGGCACAGTCCCTGATACCAAGCCTACACCCAGCCGAAAGTTCTTGAGACAAAACCATTCGACTCATTCGTTCACAGGGCTCTATGTTATGGCTAACGAGCAGTAGCAGCAGTAGTAGTAGTAGCAGCAGTAGTAGTAGTAATAATAATGATAGTCCGAGTAGTGATGGCAACAGTAGCAGCAGCAGCAGCAGCAGCAGCAGTAATAATAGCCGCAGCAGCAGCAGACTCATGTTTCGGGGACTTGTTCTGCCGTCACTTGTTTTCTTCAATCGCTTCCGATGTTGTCCAGATCTTCGCACGCTTGCAGACTTGTCGCTTGTGTTTTCCGAAGCAGGTTTCCAATATTTTATTCACACCAACACAATCCAACACACATAAAGTTTCCCAAGCTCTCAGCAATGCTTCATCCAAGGCAGAAAACACGAGCACAACTAGCAAACGGACGCAAGCAACAACAACAACACCAGCCGCAGCAGCAGCAGCAGCAGCAGCAGCAGCAACAGTCTTTTCGGGAGCACGAAAGCACTCTAAAATACCGATGCAGCGGATGGGGTCCGACTGGACCTTATCACGGTTCCGCATGAGTGCGCCGTGGCAACAGATGGGGTCGAAGTGGGCGTTAGTTAGGAAAGTGCATGTGTCGGAACCACCGTAAAAGTCGATGTATTCTGCATGGCACCCATCGAAAACATCGTAAATACTGATACAACTGGCACGTTGGATTTGCGTGAGATCACATGTGTCAAAAGCCACGAGTTTTCTCGTGTTTCGGCATGTGACCCATCGAAAACACTGCAAACACCAATACACGGGATCACGGGCACGTTTGGTTTGCGCGGGGACGGTTCTCTGGAGGCAACACCAACACCAAGACCAATACCAACACCGGCACCAACTCTCGTGCTGTGGGTATTGTTGCTTGAAATAATAAGTACAGACAATCCGCAGGTAGGGCTATTTCAAGTCGCAGTACCGCACTTGAAGAGGTGCGATGTAGTGGTGCATGCAGCCATTCTTTTGAACATCGCAGCTCTGGGACAGGCTGTCTTTGGAAGCTCGCCTTGAAGAACTAGGCTTCAATCCCACGGCACTCTGCCATTACGATGTAGCGGTGCTGTGTAGCAATGTAGCAGGCGAGGACGTGGGCCATTTTCGCGAGATGCTTCATCATGTTCAACAGTCGGAGGCAGCCGTCCTGCTCTGTCTGAACTGGGATGCAGTGACGACAGCAGCCCAAGGCCATGAACCAACCGGGGCCTGCCTCTGAGTCTACTTCCATATGTTCACTTGATGTGAAGCATTGATTCACACATTTTGGTCCGATCACATGGAGGCCCTGTTGCAAATGTGGCCCGAGTTTATGAGTTATGCACCAGTACTGGGACATGAGGTCTGGTGCCACAGCAGATGATCCATCCCACCGAGCCCAGCAACAGCGTCTTTGGTGGCAGCAACGGTACTTTCAGAAGCTGTCCACCTCAGGCCAGGCAGTGGTTTGTAAATTCTTGCATCGTTTGTCCGAGGCTTTGTCTTCTTCTACAGAGACTTCAGAAGTGGAACGAAGAGGTTTGCGGCGAGTTCCAAATGAGCATGGGCACGGACACGCTGCGCTGCAGGTGAAGAGCGTCGACCTGGAGCAACTCTTCGAGGCAGCTCTGGCAGCTCTGGGCTCTGTTTGTAGGGTTTAGGGTTTAGGGGCTCCTAAACCCTCGGGTTTGGGGTTTAGGGGCTCCTAAACCACAGGGTTTAGGGTTTAGGGGTTGCTAAACCCTAGGGTTTACAGGGTTTAGGGGTTCCTAAACCCTCGGGTTTAGGCTTTAGGTGTTCCCGCCTCTGCGAGGTGTCTGCCATCGACATTCGTATTGAGAAGACGAAGACCGAATCCGCACAAGTGCGGCGCAAAGAGTTGTCCGCAAAGGCAAGACTCGAAAAGGCCGTGGTAATTGCGTATCGAGGCCACGAAGAAGGTTGAAGAGTGCCAGCAACAGCCGCACCCTTGCAATTCGTCAGGTTCCATGCCAGTGCATGATTCCTTCATGACCTGTTGCACTGGCGATCCGAGCAGTGCCGGGACCAAGGCTGTTGGAGGCCAAAGATGAGAATCAGGTGATGCCCCTGCAGAGAAGAGAGCAGAAAGAACTTTTCCAGTCATGCCTTGGCCAGGGCCTTCGTGAGGAGAAGGTCGCGGCCTCAGCAAAGACTAATTGAGCAGACGCTTGTAAGGAGCCGTCAGTGCCTTCCGTCGATTCTTTGCGACAGCACGCGATCTCGAGAGAACTGAAACCCAACTGCGGGTCATTCAAATCGGTCTGGTTGCGGTGCCGGGTCCACTCGGCAGAAGCCCGTCGACCAAGGGGCAGTACTTCTGCCCAAAGATGCCATAGCCTCACGTGCCCCTGGAAAAGACGACTGGCAACAGCATCTGGCCCTACTAAAGCTCCTGCGCTTTTGGGACGCCGGCCGCGAGGCCATGGCAGAATTCGTTACTGATGCACAATGCCAGTGCGGGCTCGCGGGCTGGCACCACTGGGTTTCCTGGACTTCTGTCAGCTTTTCTGCCCCGGCAGCGTTCTGTGACAATTTTTGGGCTGTAGTTTCGTGTTTTCAGGTGCTTGTCCGAGGCGACTGCCTGTTTCTGATGCTTCAGATGCCACCCGTCATGGCCAAAGACATCCAAAGACCGCCAGCAAGATGCAGATATGAGACGAATTGGAGGGTGTAACGGCCCCGGCCAAGCATTTGGAAAGAGACCGCTTGCTTGTGCTGGCGTGGGCAGAGGTGCGGCCGTAGTACGGCCAGTGCATGAATCATGAAACTGCATCACCGGTCTGTGTGTGTTGCAGGTGCTGCAGTCGAGCAACAGTATATGTTCGTTCCCGGATTTTACAAATAGGATCCATCCCGCCTACCGTCCCATTTTGGCGCTGGCGCGCCGAATGTTGCTGTTATGTCATTTGTCTGGACTGCGCGCCGCTAAGTCATTCAGGATGCCAGCGCATCCCGCTTCAAGTTGTAACGTCTCTGTGTGAGAGCGGGATGGCATGCAGTCGTGGGTAATGCCTGCTTGGCAAACCCCCGGCTGCGTGCAGGCATCGCATTGCCGTCACATGGTGTGCAAGGGTTCTTGCTTCGAGTCGAGGTGTTCTGGTTTCGTCGCTCATAGCGCGACATGATAGACATCCCAGTCTCGGGTTACTGCGAGATTCATAGTCCTCTGTCTCAAGCAGTATTGCTGGCCTCCCACAAGGGTTTCCAGATCTCTCTCACAGCTCATGGTTAGATGACGGACAGCTGGAAGTGAATAAAGTCACAGCAAGAGACTCTTCCTCTGACTCTTTCCATCGGAGGTCGAAGTGCAGACTTTGCTGGCAACATCCAAAGAGCTGGCACGGTGCGCCCGTGCGTGCACACAGACTTTATCTAGGTTTGGTTCAGGCGAAGAAGGAATTTCTGGAACACCACGCAAGACTATGGCACTGTCGCTTTTTGCGCAGGGCCGTGTCCATCAAGAAGAAGGCTGTTCAGGACCTCGGCATCCTTCGTGCTGAGGTCCTTTCTATTGTTGCATGGGCTCGCATACCAGGAAGTGAGAAAGCTTTCCAAGCTCAGTGGAGAGGCGGGTAATAGTGTACTTCAGGTGCATGACATCAACAACTCCAGACCTGCAGTGAGGAGCCACAGCAGCTTGTCGGTGAAGAGGTCGCAAGCATGGAGCCTTCCGCTTCAAGGTGCTCATGTGGAATCTGAAGCCGAAGAATGCGCCCACCTGCCATCGCCGCCATTTGACCAGGTCAGAGAAGGGTGACCTAGCGGATGACGGTGAGAAGCACATGAGTGCAGGAAATGTCGCGTCTTTCCACTTTTGACCCCATTGCCTCTGATGCGCCGATGCCAGGCGAAGTTGCTGCCAGGGACTTGCCGGCTCGAGGAAGGCGCGGCAGGAGGCTCTCCACCTCAAGAACCGCGACCTCTCAAGCAGAATCAGCAGAAGCTCGTTCGGGCGCCGACGCAGATCTCAGCGAAGAGGTCGAAGGGAATGAAAGCTCGACCCGACCCACTGGCTCGCGACGGACCGGGCCTTCCAAAGCGAAAGAAGCGAAAGCGAAAGCAGCGAAAGCGGCACCGGCACAGGCCCAGGCCGCTCAGTCCCAGCAGTCCCAGGCCCAGGCTGAGGACGGCCAGCCACGAGCCAGAGCTAAGAGCAAGGATGGCAAGGATGGCAAGCTGCAGGGAGAGCGGGCTGGAGCGGAGAACTTCGAGACAGAGTCGCCTGCAGAAAGGGTCCATCCAGCTTTGATTTTCGCTTTCGCACTCGCTGTTTCGATCCGCTTCCGCGCAATCTGCTGAGATGGCAGGCAGTCACGTCAGCACCATCCGCTCAGGCGCGATGCTTCGTCTCAAGCTTGGTGCCGATCATGACTGTCCACGTGCACTTTTAAAGGGCTGCGGCATTGTTCTGTTCACATGGAGACGACAGCATGCTCACGGGGGTCGAAGGATTGTTGGCGAGGAATGTTGAGCATGGTGCAGTCCTTCTGACAACCACTCGGGCTGTATGACAGGAGAGGAGTGGCTCTGCGGCTGCAGGAGTGCATTTGGCTGTTGCTGGTTGCATCGGCGGATGTGATCCGCCTGCTTGAGACTTCCTCATGCAGGACGAGCGAGATCGAAGGTAAAAAATTCCGGCGACGACCCGAATGACAAGAAGCTGAAGGCGGCTAACTTGGAAAGCAGTGAGCCCAGATGATGAAATAATTGCGGGTTGTTCTTGATGACCTGGCATTGGAATACTGAGATCGGTCGGTGGCACGCAAATTAAATCAAAGACAGCAGGACGCTCCTCAAAGAGCAGCACGTGTGTCTTTGTAGACGAGTTGCCCATAAGTGGAACTGGTGTGGTAGCCGCAAGTAGCTGCAGGAGTTGGAGAAGCTCGCGAAGCAGGCTCTAGGCCATTCCCAACTGCAGGGCAAAGCAGTTGTTGCACATGATCTGAAGTCGATCCAGGGCGCAAGGCCACTGAGCCTCGAAAGCAAGACACTGACACTGAAGCAGGCCTGTTCCGCAACAACACATTATCCACGCTGGATGCCGGTGCATGCTGCTAAGGCTGGGAAAAGAAGATCCACGGTATGCAGGTCAGCATGAGGCACTAAGATGCTCTGCACAGGGTCGAGCTTGACTGAAGCTCTGCTTCTCTTGAGGAACGGGGCGAAAATGGCGGACTTTTGGGAGGAGCGGCTGGGAGTTTGGCATGAGGAGGCAAGGCCGTCCACTTAATGATGGTGCAAAACACACGGAAAGCGGCAGAGAGATGAAGGCGGGCAGAGGGAGAGGGAGAGCCAGAGGTATGACCACGCGTGAACGCTAGGAGTGGATGACGACGTGCCGCGGGGGGCGAGAGAGAAGCGGCGGGAAGCGGCGAAGCTCGAGAAAGAAGGCACAAAAGTACCACATAATTGAAGCAGTGGCTCAAAGGGCTACCAGGCTACCAGCCCGCAAGTTGCAGACTCCCAGCAAAGAGAGTGGGCAGCCGTCCTCAACGGCTTAGACTCCCAAAAGACGGTGCTTCCCATGAAGTGTGTTCCAGTTCCTGCGTGAGGGGATTGGCAGTTTGATACCATCATTTGCAATGTGGCACTGAGCTACCCATGACGCCGGAGACAAGCACGCAACATGTCGTGACAGAATCGGACTGTGAATGGCCTGGGACGATCACCCAAGGACGAGTCCTACAGACCGGAACAAAGCTCGGTTGACAGACAACTATGCCGCGGTCAACCCCAAAAGGCCCCAAACCTCCACGAGCCTGCAGCGAAGGGCCGAGGATGTTGCACAAGAAAGCACCGCCCAAAGCCCCGATGTCTTCAAAGTATGCAAAAGCAGTTCTTTTAGTATTCGAGCGCAGGCAAGACAAGTGCATGTGAGGTTCTTGCCCTAGGCTTGGGTTGAGGGCTGCTGTTTTGCTCAGGGCTTACTTAAGGAATGTGCCCCTTGCAAGATTGGGGCTTGTGGTGAAGCGAATCCAACATGTTGGAGGGCCCGACATGAGGGTCCTTGGGTCTGGGAGGCAATTATGATTGCTGTTTGTATTCCTTTTGTAGCATGAGGTTCTCGGAGAGACTTGAAAAATCGATCTCGTCGTTTGCAGGCTTGGGCATTGCTTAGTGCATAACTATATCCAGATAATGGTATAATTGCTTCAGCATTGTTGTCAAGCTTGGGTACGATTCCGGGAAACGAAAAGATCCTGGTTTGATTGTCATCTGGGTTGACTGTCGTGCATCATGCATGAGCCAGTTACTGCAAGTCAACATGTATACTATTGGGGCTTGGGGCTCGCCACATATCGCGCAGATAACTTCAGTGTCAGTCGTTTTCAGCCTTTTGTTCGCTACCTTCCCTTGCATGATTATAGGTGTGGCTTGTTAGACTTATCCTGTCTTTCCGCCCATAGATCCGGAAGATGGGCGTATGCCGCGATTAGACCAGCGAGGGACAAGCGGAGCAGCTGCAGCAGCAGTGTGCGAAGAAGCCCGAAGCAGACTTTCAGTTGAGCATTTCTTGGCCACTGGTCTCGATGGGGGGAAGCACTATTCCGCGGCAACAGGTAGAAGCTCGTTGCGGGGAGGAGGTCTTGCTTGAGCTCCAGCGGCTGTCAGAGGCCTCTGTGAAGCTAGCGAGTCAGTGAGCATGGAAAGGGAGACGGGGAGACTCGGGGAGACGTATGTTTTCTGACCAGTTGAAGCCCCCGGAGCGAGATGCCGAAAGCCCAGCTTGGAATCTCATGCCCTTCAGTTCATTATGTTGTGGACTGAGTTGATGCCTTTGCAGATTGCACTGCTCAGGCCCCTTGCATGTGTCGCAAAAATCCGCGAAGAGGGCAAGAACCGTTCCGCTGAGTTGAGTTTGTTGCACAATCGCAGGCGTGCAAGGACGGACATGCAGAATGTTGACAGGGTGCAGCAGGCGTGACATGCTTCTTGCTGGTACACTGCTGGTGCAAGACCTGCAAGGCTGGAACAGATCTCAAGCAGCGCTTTGCTGCTGCAGTGGAGCCAGCAGCCAAGTGAATAGGGTTATTTGACAGTGCATGTTGCAAAGGCCGCTAGAGCTCTGTATATTTTGCCAAGGCATGGAGATGTGAACCTCAAGGATCTTCAAAAGTCAGCACCTCAAAAGCGCACTGAGAAGTTCCCGCGCCTCACCTCACAACAGATGTCTATCTACGCACCGGCTAGCAGAGAAGCGTGAAGACATCTGATTGTCTCAGGGAAGTGTCCAACATGATGAAGCGGCTCTCGGTGTAAGCCTTGGCTGCCTTAGCTGCTTTAGCTGAGGACAGCAAGCACAGGCCATCGAAATTCAGCATAAGTTTCCTGAGGCGGACTTGTCACTGGGTCCTCCAGGCCCGTCCCTGACTGCAACCGCAGTATCTTCTGGGACAGCTGGTACTTCCAGGCGTGCTGGTGAAACGAACATGCTCTGTGAAAGCCGTCGAATGGTAAGTGCAGGTCCCCTGCAGGGCGTGTCGGCGAAGGTACAGCCGATGCTACCGCTGCACGCAGGTGACGAGACCTCACGAGCTTCCGTGAACTACATGGCTTTTCGGCGCGATACGAGGTCAGTCCGACAGTCCATGAAGAGCCGGAAGACGGCCGTCGAGGCTCCTTTTCACAGTGTCTTCATGTGCGCGCATCCCCGCCCCCCCCCATTCTATATGAGGCAGCTCGGGAGGCTTTGCGCCAACGTATGGCAGGCGCGCATGTCCTGACCTGAGACCGGCTCGCGGCTCGCTCGTCCCGCACAGCTGTCTGCAAGCTGGACTGAGGCAGCAAGAGGGCCGGGGTCTCAGTCAGTCTGTCTAGAGGCCACCTCACTCCGTCTTGTTTTTCCGAGGCAGAGTCGAGGCCTAGACCAGGGAAGAGGAGTTAGAAACGGCTTTTTGAAGAATCGGAGTGTTTTGGCACTGCGCAGGTCCTCAAGCGAGCTTTTTCGCCTCAAGCCAAGGGGTGAAGACGATGCCCCTGACAGATGTCAAGGATCTGGGTTCCAGGCGCCGCAGTGTCATGACGGGTGGCCGTGGTGGTAGCGCGGCGGGCATGTCCAAACATGTGGGTAGCTTACCCAGTCGCCAACATACCTGATAGGAGGAGTCTGCACGCGATGCGACAGCAGCTGGGAGTCAGGCGGACTCTCGTCGCCGACGAGGCTAGTACAGGCTGTGCTGTCTTTGGGCACCGTTGTTGCCTTTGCAAACCGCCTTCCGTCCGGAGGGCCTGATGTGCCGTTCAACAGCCGCAAGTGCGTACTGCCAGCAAGTTCTTGGAGTCTGGCTTCGGCCGACCTTCAGGTTGGTGTCTGGCGGGCTTGCAAAGCGACTTCAATATTCTGCTGGGTGCAACCCATCGATCTCCACAGCCATGGGCTTAAGTATGTCACTGACGGTGCGAGCAGCGATTGAGGTTATCCTTCTGATACAGATTCCAAAATGTCAACGGGTAACGTATGGATGAGCATAGTACCCGAAGCAAGTTTCCAGCTGTGCCGGCGCTGGCATGCTTCGATTGGACTTCCACCCGCGCGGACTGCTTGTGACAGGCCGTCTCTGACCATTATCACGATGTCAATCACGATGTCACCAGGGCATGTGCATCCTTGTGGCAGGCGAGACCTACTCGGCGCGAACAGTGCTCAAGGTGCTTGCTGAGGGAGCTGAAGAGCAAAAAAAGCGAGTAGAAGTGCGACGTATGCGAGGCAGAGGGCCGCTGGGATGCGGGGCTGAAGGGATGGCTGCTGCCTTTCGAAGGTAAAGAGCAGCGAGCCAAGCTTTGCAAAGGCTTTGCAGGTCTCGTTTCTCTTTTTCCACATCTCAGGAAGTTGCTACAGGCCTTGAAAACCGCCGCGTCGCCCTTGAAGGTGGAGGATCATGCCAAGGCGAACTTGTGCATTTCGACCCGGCTGAAGTTTAGTTGCAGTGCACGTCGACCTGTTTCGAACTTAACGCATGCCTTTCGGGATCTCCCGACGGCGCAATCCTGAATCCTGAAAGGTTCAGGCTGACAAGTAGTCGCTGGCCACTAATCCACATCTTTACACACCTCGCTGCAGCAAGCATGTCTCGGCCAAATCGTCGTGCTGCCCGTCTGCGGCGGCCTAAGTTGCTTCCAGAATTCAGATTGGAGCGGTGGTGAACCACATTTGCACTGCCTCGCGATGTGAGATAAGGTCCGCGCATTTAGTTCCTCGTCTTTGCAAAGACTCATTTGGGGCCTGTGGCTGCAACTCTCCACGAGAGCGTCAGCAAGGGAGCCTGGTTCCTCGTATCTGCCGTAATGATCCAGCCACAGGATACAGCTGGAGAGATGTTCACGATGATCTTGAGGCTGGCGTATATGCAGGATGCTATGGTTGGGACCATGCTGCCTACTGGGGCATTGCTGAGGCCAAGGCGGGCGTCGACTTGAAAGAATGGTACAAGACACGAACAGAGGCCGAGTTCTACCTGCCAGAGTTCAAGGAACTGGTTGATGACCCCGCCACTCATAAAGACTGGGATCGAATCTCGACCTTTGACCCTTTGGGCATGACTGCACATCCTCCAACCATTGCAGCATGCAAAGCCAAGCTGGATATTCCGGAGCTTAAGGACCGATCTGTGTAGAAGCCTTTGCTGAGAGGTTGCATTGTTCAGTATCAGTCGGTGTTGGCGGTTTGGGTGAGGAAGCTCCACCCCTGAGGACTTGCGGATGGACGGCGAAATCGTTTTGCCTTCGAACGAGATTGTTACATCAAAGTGTGCTATCAGCTATGCCTGGAACATTCCCCTCATGGCGGAAAGGGTGGGCCTGAGTGAGCAAGAGCTGCGGGAAGCGTTGCACAAGTTCTCCCACGACAGCCGGCTGCTGGACCCCAAGGTGAAGACCTACCTTCCAGCTGTCGGAGGGCTCACAATCTACACTTTTGGTGATGCACGAAAGCTCAAAGATGAACGGACCGAAGTGTGCGTCCGTGTTCACGACGAGTGCATCGGCTCGGATGTCTTCGGAAGCGATATCTGCAGCTGTCGGCCGTACCTGATCTTTGCTTTGAGGGAGGCTGTGGAGTGTGCCCAGAGGGGAGGTGTCGGTGTGGTGGTTTACTTCAGGAAAGAGGGACGAAGCCTGGGCGAGGTCATCAAGTTCCGAGTCTACAATGCGCGAGTGAATCAAGAGGGAGGGGATCGGCCCGAGATGTACTTCCACCACACCGAACAAATTGCCGGCATCCGAGATGCCCGCTTCCAGACAATGATGCCAGATGCCCTGAATTGGATGGGGATCCGACGTATCGATCTTCTCTGTTCGATGAGCAATGAGAAGTACGAGGCAATCACAGGCGCCGGCATCCAGGTCATGAAGAGAGTAGACCTTCCCGAGAACTACATCAAAGACAGCATGCGGGTCGAGCTCGATGCCAAGATTGCAAGTGGATATCATTCTGACAAAGTGGAGGAGGAACAGCTTGTGGACAGAGCGGTCAGTAGCCCAAGATGAGGGGATGTACAGGCACCCTGATGTCCCCGGACTTCACTCCCCTGTATTTGTCTGGCTGCTTTGATTTGAAGGAGCATCTTCCGGCCAGCTTGTCGGTTGGCGCGCTTACTTGAAGCGCTTTAACGCGGCAGTTTTCACCCTCTTTGAAACGTGGGAGCGAGGGCTCCTCACGATTAAGTGCTTTGTTGCGAAAGTCTCATGCCAAGAACAGCAGCACAAGGGCGTCGCAGAGGAGATACATGCGAGTTTTCGGACCCTCCTCTCTCCATACCTGAACAACATGGGATGTGAGGCACGGCTGATCATCGGAGTGTCCGACCATGCTCCAACCGTCAGAGGTGCGTGTCAGGGTGCGATGAGGCGTCATGTGCTTCGGGGAGAGCAGGCGAAACCTTCCCCGTCAAGGCCGCTCTCGGCAAATGCTTGCAGAAACTGTCTGGCCAGCATGAACTTTTCCTGCGCAGGCATTCCTGCGACGTGAGGGTGGATTGTGGGCCGTCTGCTGAGTGCGACGAAGCGGTGGCCATGATGTTCACTCATGTTTCGAGCCATCGGCCAGGATTCGAAGGTCAAATCATGGGTCTTCTCGAACCAAACTCCTGCACGGCTTAGACAGGCAGAAACGTCAAAAGGGCAGTCTTGTGCTACTGTCGCGTTGGAGTGTTGGAGACGATCTGGCTTGCTTCATGCTACAGTCCATTGCAATGCAGGCCCTTAGCGCCTGTGCCGACGTTGGCACGGTGGAGATGCAGAAAGCTTCGCCTAGCTCAAGAGGTTCTCTTGTTGTTCTAGAGGCCAGAGGAGCTGTGAATGCTGGCACCGACACATCGTTGAAGCTTGTCATTGATGTGTTTATTCGTATGTTGTAACTAGTACCTCACTCATTTCTGATGGGGGGTGTAAGCATTGAGGAAGCTGGGAAGTTGACTTCAGGCTAAGAGAGTCGGATCTTCCCACATCGCATCCTCTTTCTGCGAGGCCCCGAAGCTCGGCACGGTGAAGGCCTCTCTTCCCCTCGACGAGCATCAGACAGCTTAACCTTGCTCCAGGCTGCATCGCTTGATGCCCCGCTTCGCAAGGAGCGCTCGCAGCCGTCTCTCGCCCTCTTTGCTCTCTCTTCATTCCTGTCTTTGTGTCCGTTCTCTCCAACCAGATGCTGGCTCCGCAAACGCCCGGGCATGAACGATCCTGTAGGTGTTGAGTATCTCAGTCATGGTAGACACGACGGACTTGTGGATGGATGGGCACTTGGCCCTAGTTGATTTGCTTTGTCTGGTTCTTGTCACTGCTAAACCAAAGGTTTCTCTTGTGCTGGATCTGCCATGAAGCTCTCACCGTGCCGGCCCGCAGGCTTACAGAAGGGAAAGGGCATGCGCATGAGCAGAAAAAGCCTGAGCCGTCTTCAGTTTTCAGTCAGCCTAGGGGACTACACGTCAGGTCCAGGCTCCTGGCTACAGCTTTGTAATTGCATTGGTAGCGATCCGGGTTGACGTAGTGTCCCCTAGACAACCCGATGGCTGCTCCGGCTTTTGACGATGACCTGTTCGACTTTACTGGTGCGGCATTGTCAGAGGACGAGAGCGCCGAGAGCGCTATGCAAGCTGACGGCGTTGACAACAATGCTGGCGCTGCAACCGAGGATCCGGGCGACGTTGGTGGTGGCGACGACACTCCTACACCAGCACCTGCCCGAAGGCGAAGGGGATCACGTGGTGGGGCCGCTGCTGGGGCCCAGCCAGGTGAGAAGAAGTGGCGATCCGGAGCCATCCCTCAGGCTCCAGGCTTCGACGGTGATGTGGAGCGTAACCCTTATTGCCTCAGGCACTACAAGCGACGACTGATGCGATGGGTTCGCATCAGGAAGGAATTCCTTCCTGCTGGAGAACAGGCCTTGAGGGCGCTGGAGCAACTGACAGGAGAGGCCGAGCTCGAGTTCGAGGAGGTCTCCGACGACCTCTTTCACAACGAGCAAGGGATCCAGAAGCTGATCGAGCATCTGGAGGCCGCCTTTGGAGAGCGAGAGATTTTCCGGCAAGGAGGTGTCATTCGCGAGTTTGAGAACGTGGGACGTCTTCAGGGAGAAAGAGTCACGGCTTTTGTTCGGAGGTTTCAGCTTTTGGAGCGTAAACATCAAGATAGTCGTGTGCCAGCTTATCCCGAGCAAGCTCGCACGGTGAAACTCCTCGATGGCTTGAAGCTGGATGAGCGGGCTATCGGTTCTCTCTTGTTGGCGGCAGGCAACAAGTACCAGATGAAGCCTATTTTGGAGGCGATCCGGATCCAGTATCCTCCCGGTATGTCTGTAACAGGCCTCCCGCGAGGCTTGGCTACCTTGAGTTCTAGATCGAGCCGCTCCTCAACCACCCGGGCTTCCACGTACAAGTCCTCTTCTTCGGCATCGACGCGTCGATCTACACGCTCAGCACGTCCGCAGAGATGGAGCCAGTGGAACACCGACCGGCAGGACGGCGTTCTCGAGGAGGAACCGGAGGAGCAGGACTATGAGGAGCAACCGGGCATGGACCAGGGCGAGGACGCGGACGAGTATGAGCCCATTGAGGAGCCCGATTACGTGGAGGAAGAAGACGAAGAGATGATCCCGGCTCAGAATGACCCGGGCGATGCGGAGAATGACAACGAGGTCTCCGCCCTGATTGCCGCAGCCGAGGCCCTCACTGTGACTTCGCGCAAGTTAGCCGGTTTGGTTCAGTCGCGTGGATACTACCAGAATGCCGATGCCAAAGGTAAGGGCAAAACTGGCGACAAGGGCAAGGGCAAGGGCGGCAAGTCCAAGGGGAAGGGCAAAGGCAAAACTTCCCCGAAAGGCAAGCCTTCCACCAAGAAGGGCTCCGGGAAGAACACCAGCTCCGCTGACAGACAAGGTCGTCTTCGAGGATCTCTCTGCTTGGGCTGCGGTGCGGCAGACCACTGGATTCGGGACTGTCCTCATGTCACGACCTTTCAGGCACAAGTTGCCACAGCCGACCTTGAGCTTGATCCCGAAGGGATTCCCGTGTCCCAAAGTTGGATGACTCAGATCGTCGATGCTGAGAGCGAGGAGGAAAACATCATCGTGTACGAGGTTCCCCGTCCTCCTTCTGTACTTCTTAACACGTGTGATGATGCTTCTTTCTTGATTGCAGACACCGGCTGCCAGCGTCAGGTCGCTGGCCACAAGTGGCATGTCCAAAGACAGCATGAGCTTCAGTTGATGCCCAACAGGTTCCCTGAAGTCTGCAGGTTTTCCTTTGGACCCCACAAGGGAGTTCCCAGTCAGGGTCGATGGCTATATCCGGCTGGGATTGCAGGGGAACTGGTGATGCTTGGGATCAGTGAGGTCGATGTCGATGCTCCCGGGCTTCTTTCGAGACCAGCAATGGAGGCACTTGGGGCTGTTCCGGATCTTGTGGAGGGCCGTATCACCTTTAAAGCCTTGGGCGGGAAGTCTGCAAAGCTCTACCTCAGTCCATGTCGGCATCTAGCACTTAAGATTGATGAGTGGCCTGAAGATGAGTGCAGTGTTCATGACATGCAGAACTGTCTCAAGTTTGGGAAGCAAGGACCACCAGATGTTGTACATCCGAATGCTTTTCCTCCCGAGCGTGTCAGACTTGAAGTGATTGGAAATTCGAGAGTGGCCAAGGCGCTACCGGATGCCCTCCAAGACCAAATCCGAAGTTCCTCGATGGCTGTTCCGTTGGCGAGCGATCATGAGCCACTTGCTGGAATTCGTGTTCACAACGCAACAAGCAGTCCTATTTTATTCAGCAACAGCATTGAGGCCACGCCTCAAGGACGCAATCCTCCGCCTTTACTTCGAACCTTGCTCAGCTGTAACAATGCTATACCACTCAGGCAGCCATGGCAGCGTCCTCGGCACTCCAGCTGAGCAAGTGCCCGCGCGATCCAGCTCGTTGCGATCACACCGGAGGAGCGGGAACCAGAGTCTACGGTGCAGCGGGAGTTCGCATCAGGATTTGCGACAACTGCGGTTCTCGCTGGGCACTGACGCCAACCGGGGAGGCACTGGAGGTGGTTCCCAAGGCCAATCCCAACGCGAAGACGCCCCTCGGGCTCACGGAGGCGCAGAAGCAGCGGGTGATCCTGCCGAAGTCCAAGGCGAAGGCCGCCGAAGGACCAAACGACGGTCCCTTGGCAAAATCATCACCGCCCTCGTCGGGCTACTCGCCGGGGCTGTTGCAGGGCAGAGCTTCGGGACGGATGGCACCGCCTCCACCTCCTTCGACGACGCCTACGATTCCGAATCGGACAACGGCGCTCTTCCGGATGAATGGTCAGCGAAGAATGCAACAGAGACAATGGCGTTCTACGACTCCGGCCAGCTCCGACACGGACGCGATGAGTACAACCTGCCGGAGATCGCAGGCGAGTGGAGCGGCCAACTGGGGCAGGCCGCAGTACCAGAACGGTGCTTACTTGGGTCAGGAGGAGATGGACGCCATCCTCATCGCCCAGAACGAGGACATCAACCGAATGGAGGAGCGGATGAATCGGGACGATTGGGAAGGAGAGCAGTTCGACGACCTGCCAGACGACATGCGTCGCCAGTTTCAGGAGTACTGAGCGAGCCGGGCCCTGGAAGCAACGGCTTTTTGCCGTCCCTACATCCTTGTGGCTCTTCTGATGATCCACTTGGTCCCGACGATCGAGGCTGCTTTGTGCTGAAACCGGGTGTTCGCAAGCGCCTGGCAGGCGCATCTCGTGCTATGTTTGAGGCATGGAGAGTGGAGCGAGATGTGTATGAAGCCAGGGCGAAGCAATCCCGACAGCTTCGCAAGCACAGAGCTGACCTGATTGAGTTCTACGAGGGCGACACTGATGAGGTGTCCGAGACAGCTGTTTCGGCTGGACTTCGGGTGCTGCAACCTATTCGACTACAACAGCATGATGGCTGTTTCGACATGTTGTTGGGCATGTTGCGATGCAGGTTGCCGTACCTGATTGTGTGGAACCGAGGCCTCCGAGCGAACTATGACAAGGCTGCTCTTGGCCAAGTGCAAGGCAGAATGCTGCAGCTGGTCCACGACCTCTTCGACGACGGTGTCCACTTCCTCATCTACTACAACGGCACCCCTGAGTTTTGGGAGGAACCGGTCTGCAAGCAGCTTCGCGGACTACCTGGTGTTCAAATGCTTCAGCTCGGACCGAGCGCAAGATGTTTGTGCAGTTTGCCTTGCATCTTGGAAGGACTTCGCGGCGCTAGCAGCACCTCCTCTACTACAACCCCTCTGGTGATGGTCGATGGTCTGCAACAAAGTCTCCGTGTTGCAGGAGATGAACGATGGTGCCAACTCAACTACGAGGACGAGGCCCCCACTTCCGGCTATCAATCGTGGATCTCGGGCATGAATCGTGACGACTTGTCCGAGGATTTCATGCTTATGTGGGAGCCACCTGGCGAGACCCACTATGGATCTTGGTTCTTGGACATTAATCGGCATCATGAGTCCTGGAAGCCTCTGCTGGAGGAGGCCGAGAAGCGGCTGCGTGGATTGACCTCTTCTTCTATCACGCTCAAGACCTCTCCTTTTCTCGAGCAGGTGAAGGAGCTGGTGCCCTGGGACCTCAAGAAGGTGCAGATCTTTCGGGCACCGAAACAACGCCGATTGCCCCAGGACATCCTGATGGAAGCCGAGGCCATTTCCACCATCATCAACAGCCCTACGGGCAAATATGGAACTCCGGTCCGGGTATGTGTCTACTTCTACGGCAATGCCCCCGCAACGTCCATGAACCCGGAGGAGAACAAGCAGCCCGAGGCAGCCCGCAAGCCAAACAACGAGCCGCCACCCTCACATGAGGATCAGATGACACCGAACCAGCCGGGCTACCGAGACATATCCTTTCCAGGCTCGGATGCTCCGACTTGGGTCCAGCAGGTGTTGAAACGGATGCATACCAACTTGGGACATCCTCCACGCGAAGCACTTGTACGTCAGTTGGTGACTGCCGGGGCATCCGAGGTGGCAGTTCGTGCGGCTCGCAAACTGAGATGCGAGACATGGTTGAGGGTGAGCCCACCTCATCAACCCAGGGCCACGAAGGTTGTCCAGGTCAAGGACATCCGTGGCGGCCCTCACATGTTCCTCAACTTGGTTGATGACGGCGCCGTGTACCAGGCCGTAACACGTTTGACGAGTCGCAGCGAGGAGGCAGTGGTGACAGCCCTAGTCAATGGTTGGTTCACCTACTTCGGTCCCCCGGACGAGCTCACCATCGATGCCGAAGGTGCCTTTCGTGGAATGCGATTTGAGACCTTGACTGCCCAGTTGAATGTGTCAGTACGTTGTGTTCCTCCCGACAGCCACTGGCAGCTGGGCAAGGCTGAAAGGCATGGCCAGGCATTGAAGTACAACTCCTCGAGACTCATTCATCAGTTCGCTGCGCTCACCCCGGCCGAGGTCAATGTGTGTTGATGGCATGCTACTCCAAGAACAGACTGGTACGTCGTAGTGGCTCCAGTCCAAACCAATGGGTTTTCGGCCGGGACCCAAAATTACCGGCCTCCTTGCTTTCGGACGGAGGCAGTGTGGAGTCAGCCCAGCTGACCAATGACAGTGAGCGACTTTTGCAGATGGAATCCATTCGGACCCAGGCTCTCATGAATCACCACCGCTACGAGGCTCACGAGTCACTTCGGGCATCTCTTCTTCGCAAGAGTCGCCCCTTGCGCGGCTCCTTCGTTCCTGGTCAACGAGTGGCTTATTTTCGTAAGAGAGCACGCAGTCCGGCGATGGCGGGGAGGATATCGTCAAGGAGTTGTCCTGGCCCTGGATCGTAACCCTTCTTCCAATGTGGCGGCCAATATCTGGATCCGGAACTCGCGTGGCCGGATTGTTCAGTGTTCCCCAGAACAATGTCGTCCTATTGCCGGCGAGCAAGAGTGGTGGGTGCCTGATGAGCAGGACTTGGAGGTCTTGAAAAACTGTGATGAGGAGTTGTGCATTCATCCTCGCGCTTTTCGAGCCCTTGATGACCGTCCCAGTCCTGCCGATGATAAAAATCTTTTGGACAAGTCCGCGGCCGATTTCAACAAGACCGCTGACGAGCCCCTGGATCCGGCTTTTGACTTGGGCTCACCTGTGCCAGCGACTCCGGTGGCACCAGCCACTCCTTCGGCGCAGGCTCCTAGGCCCATGCCTTTCGTTCTTGATGACAAGGGCAATCCGGTGCAGGAGTCTCCTATGTTCAGCCCCTTGATGTTTGTGCCAAAAACCCCACGGTCGGCTCCAGGAACTCCTCGGACCAGAGCACGCTCCCGTTCTACTACCAGGAGGACAACAGCGGGCGAACCAGACCGGAAGGAGAGTGCACCCGTACAGGATCGACGTCCTTCAGACCTTGCACTTCCTGGGCCACCTAACGATGTGTTGGCTAAGGAAGCTACAGAGATGCCTAGGTTGCTGTCCGGATCAGACCGGTATCTACCGATTCTGATCCTGGACTTTTGAGACAGCAGTCGCAACAGTCTGGTCACTTGCACAGCATAGATGAGACGATCCAGGAGGTTGCGAGGGGTGTCAAGAGGCCACCTGATGTTGCTGTTGGCGAATTGGGTCCTACGTCTTCAACTGTGGCCAGAGCTTCGACAGATCCCAATTCATCAACAGGTCCCAAACCTTTCCCGTCTGAGCTTGAGTCTGAGGCTCTACTTTTATTTTGTCAGGACTGCGGCGAGCAGTACCGCATTTTTCCTCAAGAGTGCCCACGATGTGGTGGTCAATGCCCGGTGTCATCTCCACTTCAAGTGACGTCTTGGCTTGACGAGGTGAAGGAGAGGGAGGCCTTCGATCAAATAGTGGGTGTTCCAATGACTCGTGACGAGTTTGTGCCTCCTGAGTACCGCTTCGACAAGCCCGACGAGCTCGACTACTACCAGACAACCGCAAATGCACTCGTTTCTTCACCCACAACCACGGAGCCAGCTATGCACCGCTTGGATATACTCCGTCGTCACGGTCGAGGCGGCCACCTTCGACACGGATGGGACGGTTCTCCGTCCGAGGTGCAACCTTTTGTTTTCGGCGATGCCTTTCTCACAGCCGCCCATCTCTCTGGAGCCGATCAGCCTGAGACGCCGGAGATCACTGTGGAGCGCACCTTCATTACCACGTCTTCGCCAGCTCCCAGCCTTTCAGAACAATTGGCTAAGGTCTTCTCCGGCGGCGTGACTTTGAGCACGACTCGTGCCACCAGTTGCTGCAGGTGGTTCAACTTCGGAAGCCTAGGCGGCAATGCATATCTGCTGGCAGGCCCGGCGCGGGCTCCCTGACCCTGGGCTACTTTAGCCATGGACGCCAGCTCGGCTTCACGAGAGACACCATGCGCCACAAGCACTTAGCCCGATATTTGGGTCGATATCTTCGCTTTCACGGCATGATCGGCGACATCAGCAGCATCTTCATTTCGAGCAACGTCCACAGCATGTACCATACTGACCGACACAATTCCAGAGGCAGCTTGAACTGGCAGGTGTCCTTTGGCCATTATGTCGGAGGAGACCTTTGGGTGGAACGCGAGGACCACGACTTCAAGTACCACCTCATGGAGCGACGCAAGGTCTTCGGCCAACATCGCTATGGATACGTTCTCGACACCCGGAAGAAACTTCAGTCATTCCGTCCTGATCGCCGACACGGCTCAGACGACTTCATTGGCGATCGCCTGGTCATCACGGCTTACCAGACCAGGTTGATTGACAAGGCCCCCTACGAGGACCTTGAGGAGCTCAAGAAGTTGGGTTTCCGCTCCAAGCAGTCGAAAGCCAGCCCTATGGTCCTGAACACCACCGAGGTTGCGGACTATGTGCAAGGCTCGGACTTGTGCTACGTGCCGGTGACGGAAGCGTACCCCGTCAAGGAGCAGTCCGCGGTGGTCAAGGATTCAGAGCGACTTGTTGCCTTGGAGTCCTCCACCAGTGAGGAAGAGGGCCATGATGGAACCTTCGACTCTCGGAGGGCGGAGCTGCAGGCCAGGAAACAGGAAATTCACTGGCGAAGCCTCACGGAGGAGGAGACGCCGGCCTTCGTGGAAGCAGTTCGTAAAGAGTGGGCAGAGTGGCTACGATGGTCATCGTGCAAGGAGGTGCGAGTGAAGCCCAATGAAGTGCCAGCGCACTTGATCTTGCGCAGCAGACTATGCTACAGGTGGAAACCGGTTCCGGAAGGACAACGTGCTAAAGCTCGGATAGTAGTCGCGGGGTTCAAGGATCCCCACCTGGGCCTCCTCACAAGAGACGCGCCCGTATTGGCGCGAACTTCTTTCCATCTGATCCTCCAACGGTCAGCCTGCCACCGCGTGAAGCTGTGGAACGTGGATGCCAAATCGGCGTTTTTGCAAGGAGAGCCCGATTCAGAACGTCCGGAACAGATTTTTATGAAACCTCTGCAAGACCCCGTGGCGCTGGAGGCTATTCCACTTTGGCGTTGCAAGGAGGTGCTCTACAAACTATCTGCACCGGTGTACGGGCAAAGCAACGCGCCGAGGCGCTGGTTCGATCACTTTGCCAGGGTCCTTCGGAAACTTGGCTGGCAACAGCATAGCCTAGATCCCTGTCTTTTCCTTTGGCGTGAGGGGAACATGGTCACGGCTGTCTTGGGTCTTCATGTGGATGATCTCGTGGCAGCAGCACTGCCCGGGGCCGAGGAGACCCTTAACAAAGTCGAGGCAAGCTTCACATGGGGCAACCCTTGGGTCTGCGAGGACTTCGCCTTCATCGGCCGCCGAGTCCGACAGCATCCTGACGGCTCTGTGACGGTGGATCAGGCCTCTTATGTCAACGAGGTTCCCACCACCAAACTGAAGCTGGCTGAGGACACCCTCCTGAGCCTCCATCCGGAGTTGGTCACGGAGTTTCGCCCAGGCATTGGCTCGCTCCAATGGTTGTCGAGTACCACTCGTGGAGATGTGGCAGCAGATGTCAGCCTCATCCAGCGTCCTCCGAAAGAACTGACGGTGGCCGACTTGAAGGAAGTCAACAGCGTGTTTCGCTACATCAAGGCTACCTCCGAGGCGATGTTCAGGATCGTGCACGTGGACCTCGACTCCCTCGTCTTCGTGGCTTACGGCGACAGCGGCTTTGCGAATGCCCCGAACAACAAGAGCCAGGGCGGTCTCGTGATCGTGGCAACAGATCGCCAGGCCTTGCGGGAACCTTGTGATGCTTCGCTACTGGAGTGGAAAAGTCATCGTCATCAGCGAGTTCTCCGTAGCACGCTGGCGGCTGAAGCTTCTGCTCTGGACCGGTCGTACGACCACGCCCGCTTCATGGCTATGGTCTTCAGCGAGATGGTGTATGGCGACTATGTCTCGACGATGAATGAAAGGGCCAAGTTCGAGGTTGTGCCAGTTACAGACGCCAGAAGTCTGTGGGACGCTGTCCACCGGCTTTCCACGACGTTTACCGAGAAGCGTGTGGAAATTGACGTCGCAGCGCTGAGGCAATCTTGTCAAGGCTTAAGATGGGTCCCGACGGAGCAGATGCATGCTGACAGCATGACCAAGCGCTCCCGTAGTCTTCGCGATTCTTTCAGACAGTGGATGGCAGAGCCCAGAGTCACTCTTGTCGACAGCAAATCCTCAAAGGATGTCGCTGAAGGACCTGCCGCGAACGAGGCGTGGCGTAAGTGATGAGCTTCAGGCAGCTTTAAATAAGACCGGTGCTAAACCAAAGGTTTCTCTTGTGCTGGATCTGCCATGAAGCTCTCACCGTGCCGGCCCGCAGGCTTACAGAAGGGAAAGGGCATGCGCATGAGCAAAAAGCCTGAGCCGTCTTCAGTTTTCAGTCAGCCTAGGGGACTACACGTTAGGTCCAGGCTCCTGGCTACAGCTTTGTAATTGCAGTCACAAATTTCCAATTGCTTCTGAAAGCGGCCGGTTGTTGTAGTGACGATTCAGCGGCGTGGTTGGTGGGCAGTGAAACAGGTCTGTTCGTGGTCATCTTGGATAAAGATCACACCGAAGTTCTTTTGAGGTGTGGTCAGGAACAGGTGGCGGACACGTGCATGGAGCTGGTGGTCGTTCCTTCCCACGTATGTTCTGTCCCTGCCTTCCTTGTTGTCGTGTGGAGGGAGTCACTTGGTTTGATTGGTTCCTCATCGCCTTTGCCTTCTTGTTCTGGACTTTGGGCTTCTTCTGTGGGAGGTGGACGTCAGCATCGCGGAGGCCTGCCGCGACCGGGAAACCCCAACTTTTTGCTGGACAGGCGGGCCCTGGTTTTCAGGCGGGCCTTTTTCTTTGTCGGCCGCCGGCGCTGGATTTTTTGGGCTTTGCCAACTACCGGCACTTGGACCTCCGCAACACTTTGGGGTCCAGGCCTAACGAGGGTTCTTAAACGAAGGCCCGGCTATCCAACATGTACCCGACAGACACAGAGCTCAACCCCGTAACGCCAGGACGATCCCACGCTGGTGAGTCTGTGGGCCTCAAGTTCGGCGACTTTTGAGCATATGGGAAAGCCCCGGCGCAAGTTGCACGGCAAGCCGGAGCATTCGCCTCCGCGGTAACGGACTCCAAGTTCTGCACGCGAGAGTCGGTGACTCCAGCCACCTTCGGTCAAAGCGGCCATCGGAGGCGACGCAGCACCGCCAGGGCCACCGGGTGCGGAGGCCAGGCAAGTCAAAGCACAAGTGCATCGGGCATTTTGTGAGCGCTGCGAGGGCGTCACCATTTGTGGAGACTACGAGGGGCAGTGTGTGAACAAGAAGCCGCAAGGTAAGAGCCGAGACAAGAACAGCCACCAAGGCAACCTCTGCTTCGGACGGCGCCAGGTTGTATTGCCCGAAGCGATGACCCGAAAAAAGCGGGGCTGGCGCCTCCCCACCAACGTCCACTCAGACCCGGGCTGGGGCTCCACGACGGCACATGTTTTCTGCGTCGGCTGTGATTTTTGGGAAGGCGCCGCTCGAGCAGCACCCGCATGACAGCCCGAAGACACCCCGTTGGCAGCAGGAACCAAGCAGCTTCAGCCGTGCCTTAACCCTGGGGCCCCGCCTCATACCGCCGGCCCACTATAGCTTCTGGTTTGCGCCATGGACATCACGGCTCCCCAAGCCGAGCGAACGACCTACTTGACGGGGCCATCTTCACTTCGCTCATCAAAAGCATATGTATGTATGTATGTAT